ATAAGACTTATCATTTTATTCAGGACTAAAAGGAGACATTTTTTTCCTCTACATGGAGAACCTATGTTATCATCCCCAAATAATGGCTTAAAGATATTCATTCAAGTAAGGAGGTACAAAAACTTTCAAGGCTGCAACATGTCAGTAGCTGGCCAGTTCACAAAAGTTTTATGATTTGTTAAAACACGATCCATAAACTAATTTGCCATGGGCCCTTAAAGAGTCTATATATGTCCAAATCCTACTCTCTATCATAGAGGGAAAATAGGAACATAGCTTAAAGACTGACTGACCTGTGTTGATTTTTTTCTACAAGAAAAACAAAAGCCTATTTTTAAAATCCTGCCCTATATACAAAAATTACTTAATAGTAAAGGTTAACTATGATGAGAAACATTTCAAAGCTAAATAGTCTGAATATACCTACCGTGAGATTTTACCTAACATCGAATTTCTTCTAATTCTAAGTTGAGGAAGCACTAAACACATGTGGAAATTCCATTCTTAATAGAGTGGTAGGAATTCATTCATGTAACAACAAAGTTTCCTTCTATCACTGAATCCCTATACTCTCAATGAGGTTTGATAAAAACTAGCTAAATCATCCTTCAGGCCATTCAACTCCCGAATTTGGCTTTTCTCCCAAGTAGTTAGTCTCTTATTTCAGTTATGAAGCATGATGGTAGCTTTTAGGTAAACTGTCCCCGATGTCCCAAACAAGATGTGTAGCTGTAGTCTCTCATTTAAGAGATCACTTATCCCGTGCCTGTGACTGTCTACAACAATCAAGAAAGTAAGCAATGAGAAGTTCTGAGCAGCGAAAAATTCCCAAAGCACTAATGCTTAGACTCAGACAAACTTGAGACTACCTAAGGCCATTTTCTCACAATTTGACTAGGGGATACCTCAACAGATAAGGTTAGAAGTATAAACTGAAGGGGAAGGAAGCAGCTAATGACAGATATGACAAAAGGAACAAGATGTGAGAACTAACATCCAGAGAAGTGACAGAAACAGACTTGATCTCAAGCAGAGAAAGCAAAGCAATCTGAGACCCTTTCACATATAAAGAGCAAACAGTTTTCCACACATGAATTGTCCTTCGGCATATAACATATCAGAACATGGTATAATAACTGACATTTATGTTAATTCAGTTCAATTTAGCAAACAGCTACCATTCCTGTGTGTATGCTTTATGCTATTTAATATAAAGATGAATAAAGAAGCACTACCTTCAAAATGATTAAAAAGAAATTAAATGGTATTTTATAGTCTTTCTTTACTGAATAGCTAATATATTTTTAGTAGATTTTGGCTATTTAAAAAAAGTTATTTAAGTATTTAAGAAGATAAGCTTCAGGAGTCTGAAAACTAAATGTAGGTAAAACACCTCCTTTAGAACAGATTTAGAAATTAAGCATAGATTACTGTTCCACATGAACAAAGAGATATCTACATTACTGCACTAATGAATGGCATTTGTGTACATTTATAGATTCTATCTAGGCTAGCTCTTCAACTCTTCAGTAGCATTTAACAAAAGAAACCATCCTAATGACTGCTTAATGAACAGAAATCATCTTCTAGGAGCTTACAATTTATTCCTGTCCTAACTACCTACCAACTTTCTTACACAAAAAGTAATGTACTTTCCCTCACACCTATTAGGATTGGCCACTACCAAAGGGGGGAAAAAACCCAACCAGAAAAAAACAGGTGTTGGCAAGGATGTAAAGAAATTGGAAGCCTTGTGCACTGTTGGTAGGAATATAAAAAGGTGCAACCATTATAGAATACAGGATGAAGGTTCCCCAAAAAATTAAACACAGAATTATCATACGTTCCAGCAATTCCATTTCTGAGTACATACTCAAAAAGACTCAAAAGCAGGGTCTTGAAGAGATATTTTATACACCTATATGCCAAAATGTGGAAGCAATCCAAATGTATATTGACGAATGCATAGATAAACCAAACATTATTCAACCTTAAAAAGGAAATCCTGTCACATGCAACAATACAGATGAATCTTGAGTACATTATGTTGGTAAAAGAAGCCAGTCACGAAAAGACAAACACTGTACGATTCCATGCACAGGAGGTAACTAGAGGAGACAAACTCACAGCGACAGAAAGCAGATGTTGGTTGCCAGGGGCTGGAGAGTGGGGCAATTAGAAGTTGATGTTTAATGAATAAAGAGTTTCAGATCGGCAAGTTCTGGAGACCTGTTCACAATAATGTGACTATACTTAACACTACTGAACTGCACACTTAAAAGTGTTAACTTGGCAAATTTTGTTTTTTTAATCACAATAAATCAAAAGTAATGTACCATATTATCTAGAGAAAATATCTAATATAAAGAGCACTACCCATTAAATAATCACTGTTAATTTCTCACATGGAGACTGAAAAGTAAGTGTGACTAGATAATTGATATGAAAGAGAGACCCATGCCCAACTGAGAAAAAAATAATTACACAGAGGTCTGAGGTCAGGTCCATCCCGTCATCTTCGAATATCAACAACATGTACTCAAAGGAAGTTGGAAGAGCAACCTTGACTAATGATAAAAAGTTTGCAAGGGACGCCTGGCTTACCTTCCCAGAGCTGAAGACTCTGTGGAGCAACCGAAGGCCAGATGACAAGATTGTTGGCTTCAAAGAGAGGGTTGGTGAATTTACTCAGTTCACTGGGTCGATTGACCCAAGACCACAGAGACATCGTTTTCTGCTGTAGCTTCAACTTACATCTAACCAAGAAAGCAAATTGCCATTAAAGCAGTTAGTTTATAACAACTACTATTAAATACTCCTCTTAATGGGAAAAGTTCTTCTCTCTGTATGTTAGAAGACATAACACAAGACTTTTAGTAGAAGAATAAAATGTTGTAAAAAATACTTGTCAGAACATTCAGTCAGCATTATAACTCTCAAAAACAATAAAACAAAGATAATTTGTTTTAGATTCCCTCAGCAAGAGGGAAACAACCAGAATCCCGTCATGTCAGGTTCGGTGTTGAACATTAACCCAGAGAACGTTACTATATGCAAGTCCTTTACTATGTCTGGGATTGTATTTTAATTGAAGATAGCTAAATAGATTAAAAATAAATATGTACCTTGATACAGATTTAATCTACATTCATAGACAATGAACAGTCTTCATAATAATCCTGAAATTCTGTAATATTTTACCATGGAATAAACTGTTAAGGATGGAAACTGAACTGGCACGTTATAGAAAAAATAAATGTTAACAAGGAAAGATAATTTGTAGTAAACCTGACATTAACCCAAAAGATAATTAAATTCAGTTTTCGCAAGATCCCATTTAAGCTGAAGTTTTACTAAAAAATTAGTTTTGTCCGAAACAACTTGATTACTTATTTATAAGCTTCATTCAAGTTAATTATTTGCATATAATTATGCTAGCAATAAAAAGAATCCACTTACTCACAGAACCTATGAGGTACTAGATTTAATTGCTATGTCTCCAGGACCCAGTCACGGCGAGGATAGGAAACCACTGCTCCCACTGCTCCCTGCAGCCCCCACCCACCGAGCCCATGGCAAGCCAATTTCTGAACGTTTTCCAGCTGAGCCCCAACACAGCCTCAGAATCCTTCTCAATCAGCACTACTGGTAGGTTCTACCAAATGGGAATCAGGATGTGAAATAAAATCTATTTGTGATTCCTTTATTTAATGTAGTTCAGGGGGATATTAATAGGTATAACACCGAAAAGAAGTCCACAGTCAAACATATTATTTAAATGCCGAATTAAAGTTATATACACTGCTTTAACAGAGAAAGGTCAGAAGAGAAGTAAGAAGACCTGTACCATAGCCCCACTTTTGGTGACCAGCTGGCTCTGTGTCCCTGGACAACGCATTTAACTATTTAGATAACACCTTCCTCATCTATACAATTGGATGGTGAAGTTGGAACATATGTTAAGGCTTCTTCCACATGTAAGATATGGACTAATTTTAATCTACTAGAGTATGTGATAGGCTCATAATAAGAATATACTTCATGTAATTTATACCAACTGTACTGTCTACCATCTTATAAATAACATTAACGTAGAACTAAATCCTAGTCTCTTTTAGGAAGTGACCAAAACAACTTAAAATGAAATGGCCTCCCTGTGAGCAGTGTACCCACCTTTCACTTTCATTGTTGCCCAGAAATGTTCCAAACTGTGAGGCATAAGTATGCTCAAAGAGCATGATGAGGAAATTCTCATTAAATTCAAAAGAACAAGGGAACTGACGAAGAATCTGCCACACACAGTCCAAGAAGAGAAGAAATACAGGTGACTCCCACTTCTGCTTGCTATTACAATAGGCTGACTGTGCACAGCGCTGTTGGAATGGGTGACCAGCCTAAGAGGAAAGATGGAAATGAGATAGTCATAACCTAGTGAGATCACATTATAGCACATTCTATTAACGTTACTTCACACGGGTGCAATGAAGCTCTTATTAAATGGAACATCACATAATTTGGGTGGCTGCTATTTAGATTAATAATATCTTGGTTTAAAACAATTTCCAAATACTTAACGAGGCTGTATAGTTAAGACATAACCATGAGAACTACAATTGTCCTTAAAATATCAAATGAAAAATTTCAGTAATGACAAACTTATAAATCTTCCTAGGTCTGTGTAATTTGGAGCAAAGTCAAAAACATAAGCTCTTCAGATACAAACCAAAAGACAGCTGTCACCTTGCACATGTCCAAAGCATTGTAGGCTATTATAAGTTATATAAGCCTCACCACTAAAAGGAGACAATTATCAGATTCTCACAGACAAACTTTATAAGGTCACTCTTGATATTAAATCTTTAATTACATGTGGGAAAAAGTTGCAGTCCCGAAGAGATCTTTATGAATACTGTTATGTTAGAGATAAAGCTGTCCTTAGTTTCTCTCTTCTCCCAAAAAGAACTGGAAGAGTCTGCCATCTACTGACCACAGAAAATTTAAGAATCATTTGGCTCTCTGGCCCACCTGGAACCTGAGTAACTGACCTTAACCCAAATCACACCTTTCTAGGATTCCACAGACCTGCTTTATCTTTGAGTCCTTATACCATGATATGTGACAAAGATATTGCCATGACCATTTTTCACTGGATAATGGAATTTTGCTACCCGCTAAAATGATAATATAGAAGTAAGTACATTTGTTTGTTCGCTATGTATCATGAGGTATATAGCTAAATATATTTTCACCAAATATTTAGGATGGTTTGACTTAAACAGAGATAAAGTTCAAATGTCAAACAGGGTAGACATGGTACACATAACAGCATTAACGCAAAATAAATCTGAAATGTAACTTAAAGGGCCAGAAATGATTTTTCTCCAGAGATCCTTCCACTTTCAAGATATATTTAAACATTTATTTTCAATCACAATTGTTTACTAAGTTACACAGTATATATGCATTCATAAATTAATCTCTGACTGGGATTAATCTCTGAAAGGTCTCTTGAGACCTTTATTTTAGTTGTCATTCAACATTGTATGACAGCACTGTACTGTGTCCTACGGATAAACAGATGAATTGGGCAAGGTTCCCTGATCTCAAAGAAGTCATTTTATTTGGGTTTAATTCAGGAAATAAACCACAAAGAAAATTAACCAATTTTATTTGTGAAAGAGGTCAAGGTCCCAAAGACTTCATGAAAGCAAGGACATTTAGCTGGATGTTAAAGAATGAGAAGGATTTCATCTGGCTAAGGAACAGGGTAGGATGGAGCTAGACTAGAGCAAAAGACAGAAATTCCTAAAAAGCAGGACGTTGTAATTACAAATGCCTGTTCTCCCCCTCCCTTGTTTATGTATTTTATTTCTACTAAGACTAAGCTCTGAAAGACAAGACTATTTTTTACATTGTTTGCATTTCCCCTATAGGTAACAAAATCCAACTAATAAGAATTTAAGAGAATGAAGTGCCAAATAAGCAGTATAGCAAAGAGAGATACAGAAATTGAGAGGCAGTAAAGATTACTTTACAAACATTTACTGAGAGGAAGATAAATTCATTGTTCTCCAGAAAATTAAACATACAGTTTAAACATTTTAATCAATCAAAATTTCGTACTTTATATCCTCTCCTACAAACCAGGATCACAGCAGCAATTATTAGCTGTTCCTCTGCACACAAAATAGCTTTTCTCACCTGTAGCCACTCTCTTTCTATCAGGGCCTCAAAACCACGGATGGTTCTGCTTCTTGGTTCCAAGATGATCTGAGCCAGGGAGGTAACCTGAAGTGTGGAATCAGTACCTTCTGTTCCATGAATCAGTATGGATGCTCCTTCCCTGATAGGGAAATTTAGAGTACAAATGGGATGCTTCCGACATAGTCAGTCACCTCTGTTAATAATAAATATTTATTGAGTACGATATTTCAGTCTTATGTATTTTGCGCTATTCAGTAGGGTTTAGAGTCTAAATAAGGCTTATGAAGAGAGCTTCCCTTGGGGAAAAAAAATAAAACTATTGTGAGTCTCAAATTTCACAAGGCAAGACTCCTTTACATTCTAACAAATTTCACAGAACCTTGTAGCTCAAATTTTTCCCCTTTTACAAAGCTGAAAAGCAGCCCTTATCACACACAGTAGGCACTTACTTACCTTTTCCGCTTTAATAGTTGATTAAAATCTTTTCTCATCAAACCTAGAAACATACACTTAAAGTTATTTTTCTGTATCTCTCTGACCTTGATTCTACCTTTTTACCATCAGCTGACTATGGATCTGGAAAAGAAGTCCGACATACTTTGAGAAATATAAAAACAGGAAGAAACATAAAAACAAAACACATAAAATTGTCAATCTAGAAAGTCAGTGACAATGATACCATGATACTTAGGAGGTGTCTGGGACCCCGTTATTCTAAAGAGAGTGGGAAGAAACATCGAAAACTAAATTAACTACATCTTCTTTCTTCTTCCACCTCTTATATTGAAATGACAGTGAAGAAAATTTTGGAAAAGAAAATAAACTCACTACTTTCTCATAAAAATTTTATGTTTACTTACTACTGTTAATTCTTTTCCCGTGTACATATATACTTCACGTAGCTATAAGATAATCGATTATTTCCACTTTTATTATAAACACTTTCCCATGTTCCTATATCATCTTTAGAAGTATTGTATTAGGGATTATATAATATCCTATTAAGTGATCAACAACAACCTACTTAATTCCATAGGTGGACACTGAGGTTATTGCCACTTTTTTGTTACACTGCAGATGATGTACATAGCTTTTTGTCTTCTTCTGAATTCTTTGAGAGTCCCTAATTTAAAAAGAAGACTCCCTGATGTTCACTTATGGTTAGGTTAAGAACCTCATTCTAAGCATGAATTCTAATGACTAGGCTGAAGGGTATGGACAGATGTTTTAAGGCTTCTGATGTATAGAGAATATATAGCTTAGTTATCTGTGGTATATTCTGAATTTAATGCAATTAAAGTCAATTTTTACATTCTGAGTAATTATATTAATAATGTATTAATAAGCTAATATATATCAGAAAAGGGAAACCAAACATGGCAAAATAGACCATATCCTTCAACTCTCCTAAGAGTATGGAAGTCCCTGTTTGTGTAAGGTGGCTAGCCCAAACTAAACAAAAGTAAAAATAACAAATACTGTTCTGCACCTAGGTTTGCCTTTAAATGCATCATCTCGTTATTATGGGTGAAAACTTAATAGACAACACGGTGATAAGTGTTTATTACAATTCATATTTTAAAAGAAAACAGGAGCCTCTGTACTCACCCTGTAAGGGGAAATCTTTTAAACTTAAGTTAAAGAGAAACAAAACCTTTAATATTAGCATCTCATCATTCTGTATTATTGATTCTCTGCCACAGAACCTTGGTCTTTAACTCCCATATTTTATTAGATAAATGAGCTCCGCCTAAAATAAAAAGCAGCGGCAGCCTGGGAATCCTGACACTAAGAGTCTCTGTCTATTCTTGGTTCTGTCACTAATTTACCACATGATCTTAAGCAACCCATTCTATTATCAATTTCTCACTAACCTTAAAAAAATTACATCTATATTTCCCTAATTTGGAAGCATCAGTAAAATTAAATTCTCAAAGAGAAGTGCCATCCAACTATGTGGTGGCAATACTTATACCTACCTATTGTTTCAGTGGGAATCCCCTTCTTAAAAAGGACATGCTAAGCCTCTGCAACAACTCATACCAATCCTTCTGCCTCTGTTCAAGTCTTCTGCCTCAAGTCTCAAGGATTGGCAACCTTCAACTGAGTGAGTAAACTAAATTCACTTCATATACTTCCCATCACTGCTGTTAGGTTTTCTCAACCTAAGATCCTGATATAACTGCACATATCCAGTCGTTTGTAATATCTAAGAGATTAGAAAGGATCATTTTATTTTGTAACAAACCTATATGTTTCCTTTCATTGAGTTTTCAAAAGGAAGCAAGTTTGGCCCTCTGAGAAGAAATAAGAAAAATTCTTTTTCATGGTTTAAGAAAAGGAAAATTGGTAGATGAATAAATTTAGGATGTTGTTAAAAAAATAAGTCCTTTAGTACCTAAAAAAAATGTGTCATCAAAAACGTGTATATGTACATAGTTCACAATTAATTCAACAAATATTATCATGGATTAATGATAATTAAATACCAGACTGCACACACTTCATCAATAACTGAATGGTGTTGATTATCTTATGTAGTAATTGATAAAATGATCTGAACATAAGATATAGAGTAGGCACAAACTTTAACATACAGGCTTACCTTATTTTACTGTGTTTCGCTTTATTGCACTTTACACATATTGCATTTTTTACAAATTGCAGGTAAGACCCTACACCAGCAAAAATATTATGACTCACTGAAGGCTCAGATGATGGTTAGCATTTTTAAGCAATAAAGTATTTTTTAATTAAGGTATGTACATCGTTCATTTAGACATAATGCTATTGCACACTTAATAGATTACAGTATAGGTAAACATAACTTTTAAATGCACCGGGAAACCAAAAAATTCGTGTGACTCACTTTATTGTGATTATTGACTTTATCGCGTTGGTATGGAACTGAACCCATAATTCCTGTAAGGTAGATGTTAATATATAAACATATATCTGGATAAAAGCAAAGTCTAGTTAGCAGTACACATTCTATTCTGGAACGCTGATATGCACTTTACCTGTCAATACACTGAGCTGCTAGACAGGCAGTTGTCAGAATCTCTTTGATGTGAGTCAGCCAGTTTGAGGCCTCCAATTTACTGAGCCATCGGTCCATGTTATGTGTTTGGTCATTACAAGCTTCCACCAGTTTGATTAAGCTCTCCTGAAGAATGTGATACCTTTCAAACACAAGGAAAAGAAAAATAAAATAGAACGATGGAGGAAGAAACGAACCAAAAACTCAGCCTCCAATATATCCAAGAGCAAAAGTAGCTCGAAATACTATAAAAATATTTACCTTGCTATACAGTAACTTGAGGGTTAAATATGGAAAAACCAGTATTTAAATATGTTTGCAAAGATGCTTTAAATGCCTGTCATGGTAAACCGTTCTTCATCTGAACAGATTAAACCCAAATCGCAGAGCTGAATTATCTGACTGGGTAGAAGGCCAGAGCACTGCATTTTGTGACAGGTCACAAGATAGCACCTCTGACATCTGTAATCCTACTCCCACAGATCCACCTGGGACTATCGGCAGGGGTACCCAAAGCCAGCTCAGATCCCATTGTTTTATTAGCTCCAACTCTCACCTAGCCACGCAGAAGCACTTATAAACCACTAACTGCAAGCATAAAAAGAGATGATAGAGGTGGAGGAAAAAGGGTGTGAGAATAGGTAGGTATGTGAGAATAGGTAGGTATGTGAGAAATGAAATCTCTAAAGTCTTTTGAGTTAGGAAAATATATTTATCCATAGCATATCTGTTCAGTAAGTTTGGTGACCACTGATCTACAAGCAGAGGAGCAGACTGTGGTGATGAAATTTCAGAGCTGACTTAGAGAAAGAGTGCTATTTGACTAAAACTCACCTGTGAACATCCAGATTAATTTTCTGCTTATGCTTACAATGACAGGCTATCCAGTCAATTTTCAACTCTAAGTTAATGTGTAGGTTCATTTGAAAACTTGTGATTTTTGAACAGCTAAGGGCTCACCCACTCGAATTAGCTTCAAGTAAGAGCCCACCACTGTCACCAGAAGCTTTTACCTCTCAATGGACTTATGAATCCGCCTCCACTGGGGATAATGCGCCTCTTGTTCAAAGCCACCGCCTTTAGCTCTAGCTTGCTGAGCTACATTAAGAGATCGGGTATCAATGATGTAGCCACGCTTTCCTGCTCTAAGGGTGGCATTTATCAGCTTCTCATCTTCTTTGCACCGTCTCCCATTTGTGCCAGTCAGTGGCTGACCACTTCGCATAATTACCTAGAAGCACAATACAGTTTAAAATTTAATAGTAGCTGCTTTTGTAAGTTTCTGAAAACAGAAATGAATTAGCTAGATTATTTCAAAAATAATTATGTGACACTTGGAAATGATTGTATCCTAAAATAAAGACACATTTCTGTGTATTGACAATAGTTAATAACTGTCAAACAAAAATAAGCCTTACACTTTTAAATGATTTTTCTTCATACTACCTCAAAATTCTTTCGCATAATATAGTTCCCCTTTAAGATCAAATCTTATAGTTCATGTAGTCAGTGAATGAATTACCGTCGATTTAGCTCTGTAATGAAGATAATAATAATGTCCAATGTGCCAGTAAACTTTTGCTTCAACTATGTAAACTTAGGGTTGGCAAGTTTTATCAAGAATTATAAAGAAAAAGGCACCAATGGCAAAATTTAAAAAAAAAGGGGGGGGGGAGGGGGGCTCTATAGTGTAGTGGTTAGCACATCTGCTTTGCATGCAGAAGGTCCTGGGGTTACGCCCCAGGTGTAGCCACAGGCCATACCCTGGGTACGCCAGGCCGTGGGTGCACGCTGCAAGCGTGTGGAAAGGGACGCCCCACCTTCAGAGATCCAGTTCTTAAGGGGAAATGGCAACATCCATGGGTCAAGGCTGGAAGTAGGAAGTGGGTAATTACGGGTGGGGGGGGGGATAAATAAATAATAAAAAGTTTATGCACTATTCTTCTTATTTTGGGAATCACTGTCAATATCTTGAAAGCTTCTTGTTATGATGTATTCTCCAGTGGCCCTCTTCCATTCTTTTCAGTATTCCAGGACTTAACTACCTGTCTCCAAAGACCACGAACTACGTATTTTGAAATGTTTGCTTTAGAAACTTTTCTCAAGAAATCAGTAACTATTATACTGATCTCTTCCCTGGTGACTAGTTTAGAGTTATTTTGATTTCACCTCATAGCATATACTGTTACCTTGAAATTTATCATGATCCAGAAAAGTCATCCAGAGGATGACAATGGCTGACACTCAGATGGCGCTTACCATGTAAGTGGACACAATAGTATATTTAACATTAGTTGTTAGAATGCTTTATAATGAATCCTAATAAAAAAGAGATATACTACTAAGCAAGCAGGACAGGTGACCTGATGCCCAACTAGCAAAGTTTTAGAAATCTTTTTATCTTAAATATCCATGTTTGACTTATTACCAAGAGAAAAGGAAATTGGAAGATGGCTATAATTTATCCACTAATTTACTACTGGTCTCAAAATGAGAAGCAGAGTTTATTGACTGAGAGAAAATAAAAGGAGAGAAATAGATTTAGAAAATATTTAGGAAACAAATACACAGCGAGCACTTGCTTATTAAATTCCTGAGTCTCGTGTTTACTTAAGTTGTGACGAATGACATGTGTTGCTCTTCTTAAAAATTAAAGTACCTGCTCAATTTACCTTTCATAGGGAAATTTGGCAAGAATAATTAAAATAAAGTATCTACCATTATTCTGGTCAGAGAATTATTCTGTCGAAGTGTTATTTTAAACATCAAATGAACATTAGTTCCCTTCATACTCAGTTCTGAGGATAAACCTATCTGGGCTTTTCTATAGTTGAACAGCATCATAGAAAGAATTCAAAGTCATATCCTGATCACAGAAAGCACTCTACTCCTGACTGCCTAAAGTTTAAAGGAAGAGTCCTAGCAGGAGAGATTAATCACTTTAATGAACAGGTACACACAAAAAGGGGAAACATTTCTAAGAAAAGATCCTCAAACCAAGTCTTTTCAGTAGATCAAGCACTGTATTGTACACGTACCATTCCATTTTTTTTGTGGTAATAGCTGAGTACGGGGAAGCGTCCTCCATGTCGAAATGTAGCTACCTTCCGAAGAGCTTCATCATCAATGGATTTGGGCACAATGACAATTGGCGGGTAAGAGAGGCAGACTGAAAATTCCTTATTGACATAGCTCAACCTCCATTCACTGGTCTGAAAAACACAAATACCTCAGAGCCAAGCAAGTATCTCAATGTCAAAAAATAATCGGAAAATTTTTAAAAGACCTTAGAGATCAGCTTTCATACAATGAAGAAGGCATCTCAGGAATTTAATAGAATGATACCTAGCCCATACTTAAATACTTCTAGAGAAAAAGAGCTCCATTCTTCAGAGTCAGCTTCCTGCATTGCTAGGCATCCCTACTTCCTAGAAAGTTCTTCCTCATATTGAGCAAAATTAGAAGAAGCTCTATAACTTCCTCTATTGGTCTTTACCATGATTTCAATACAAGTTCCCTATTTCAAATGGCATCCTATCAAATATGTGAAAGACAGTGGTTTTTCCCTTACTCTTCTATTCTCCTAGTTCAATATATATCTATAAATAAATAAATAGCTACCTAGATAAATAAATAAATAAATAAATACGACTGTCCAGACCAACATCATCTCATTCATCCTTTTTTGGGTACTATTTACTTTGTTACTGGTACTTTTAAAGTATAGCAACAGGAAGACTATAATACTCCAGATAATGCTGAACCAGAACAGATGAGAATAGAGCTACTCTTTACTTCAAATCCCCTGTTCCTTTCTGTTATTTAAAAAAGGAGTAAAATGTAGAAAGATTGGTAACATCCATTATTCTTAAAGGAATGACAATACTAAGAAAGATTACACTCTTCTGTCCCGCGGTCTATCTGTGGTAAGTCCCATAGCTTTCAGAATAAGCTTGACATTTAGTAGGCTAAGTCTCCGCCTCCCTCCTTTTAGTTCCTCAGGAGTACATTGGCTCATTCATGTAACTCTGATCAAATTCCCTGTAAAAACCCACTGGGGTTTTAATAAAACTGCACTGACTTTATAGATTAATTTGGAAACAATTACATCTTTCTAATGTTGTCTCCTATTTATAAGCATACTGTCTCTCCACTTTTTAAAACTTTCTTAAACTTTTAAATAAAGTTTTATAAATCTCTCAATAAAGGTCTTACATAGCTTTTCTAATTTATATTCCTAGGAACCTACATTCTTATTGCATTTTAGTTGTTATGTTTTCAAAATTGTATTTGATGTAAAGAAATGCCTATAAACTTGAGTCTTTCAGTTTCCTAAGTACACAAGCACATAATTAACAAATAATAACAATTTTGCTTCTTTCACTTTAATCTTTATGCCTTTCATTTTTCCTTCTTGTCTTACTGAGCTGGCTAGGAGTATTTATGGTGGATATCCTGTCTCACTCTTGAACTTATAGGGAATGATAAAAGATTTGCTTTTTGTATGTTTTTGGTTTTATTATAAATCTTTTCAAATTAAATTCTGCTAAGAGCCTTTTATTATGAATAGATGTTTGATTTTATTAGGGTTTTTTTTTCCTCTTCAAGTTGTTTTATACTTTGTATGTTATTTATCTTCTCTCTCTCTGGCTACTTTTGTGATATTCTCTTTGCAATACTGTTCAATAGTTGGACTCAACACTAAGTAAATATTTCTTTTTTATTATTCTGCATAGTGTTTATTGGGATACCTTAATTTAAGAGTTCAAGACTTTCACTGGTTCTGGAAAATTCTCAATCATTATCTATTTGAATATTGCCTATTTTCCGTTTTCTCTATTATCTTTTTCTTGAACTCCCATTTAATAAATATCAGCTCTTCTCCCTTTATTATTATGAATGTATCTAACTTCTCTGCCATTTTTTCCATCTTCCTTTTTTTTTGTTCTGTATTCTGAGTAATTATTTCAGATCTATATTCTAGATCACTAATTCTCTCTTTAGTTGTTTCTAATCAGTTACTTAAACTTTACATTATTTTCTTTTAAATCAACTTTATGGAGAATTTATTATTTATATGAAAAATAAACTAAATCCATTTAGAGTGCACTATTTCATGAGTCTTGACAGTTATATACACCAATGAAACCACCACAATCAAAATAACAAATATTTCAATCATCTCCCACAAAAATGCCTTGTACATTTTTCTAGTCTGTATCATACACTCATAAGTCTTTAATCTGCTTTCAGTCACTTTTGGTGTCATATCGAAGGTCATAAAGATTTTCTCCTGTGTTTTCTTCAAGAAGTTTTATAGTTTTAGCTTTTATGTTTTAGTTTATAATACAGTTTGAGTTAATTTCTGTGGATGGTGTGAAGCAAAGGTCTAGGTTCATCTTTTTTTTTTTTTTTTTACATCTAATCAATGCAATGCCATTTGAAAGGACCTGCATTGAATCTATAAAACAATTTGGAGAGAACTGTCACTTTAATGAGGTTGGCAAGCTATAGTATTCGAGCTAAATCCAGTCCCAGACTGTATTTGTAAATGAAGTTTTATTAAAACACAGCACTAGTCATTAACTGATGTATTATCTATTGCTATTTTCTTGCTATAACAGCAGAGTGGAGTAGTTTCAATAGAGACTGCATGGCCCAGTAGGCCCTAAGTATTTACTATCTTGTCCTTTATGGCCCACTTCTGATCTTAACCATATTGTCTTCTAATCTATGAACATGATATACCTCTCCATTTATTTATTCTTTAACTTCTCTCAGCAATATTTTGTTTTTCAGTGTACAGATACTGCATTTCTTTTGCTAAATTTATTCCTAGGTATTTTATTTATCTTCAAATGCCTGTTGCCAATTGCCAATAATTGTACTGTTGTCAATACATTTAGTTTTTGTATATTTATATTGAGCAACCTTGCTAAAACTGCATATTAGTTCTAATTATTGCTTTCAGCTTATTTTTATTTCATTCTTTTCAGTTATTTTGCTTTTTCTAGCTTCTTAAATTGGAGCTTAAGTTGGTGTTTACACCTTCTTTTTTAATATAAGCACTTTAAAGTTATAAGTGTCTTTCCAAACATTGCTTTAGCTATATTCCATAAATTTGATATTTTGCATTTTTATTATTCAAAATATTTTCTAGTTTCCTTTTTGTTCTCATCTTTGTGTTTTTTTGTTGTTGTTTTGTGTGTTATGATTTCATCTTTGATACATAGAATATTTACAAGTATTTTGTTTAATTCAGAAATAGTCTGCATCTTCCTGTTAAGAGCTTGCTGAGCTTTTTGTATTTATATCATCTGGAAAAGTTTTTCAACATTAATTCTTTATTTTTTCTATCTTATTCTCTTTGTTCTCTCCTTCTGGATCTCCAATTACACATATACTAGACATTCTCCCACAGGACCCTGAGGCTCTGTTTATTCTTCCGTAATTTCTCCTTTCTCCTTTCTTTCTCCTAAATAATTTTTATTGCTCTAATTTCAAGTTCACTGATTCTGTCCTCTGTCATCTATACTCTGCTATTGAGCTCACCCAGTAAATTTTGTGTTTTAGATATAATTTTCAAAAAGTTCTAGGAGTTCCACTTGGTTCTTTTTAAATATTTTCTATTCTCTGTTAAGATTTCCTATCTTTTCTTTCACTTTAAGCATGTTTTCCTTTATGGAAAGTTAGACAGTTTTAACAACTTCTTTAAAATTCTTATGTAATAATTTGAACACTGAGTTATCTTGGGGTTGGTATGTATTGTCTTTTTTTCTTGAGAATGGGTCACAATATCCTGGTTCAATTTTGGATTGTATCCTAGACATTATGAATATTATGTTGTAGAAACTCTGCAATCTATTACACTCTTTTGAAGAGCATTAATGTTTTAGTTTTAGCAGGCAATTAACTTGGTTAGATTTAAACAGCAAACTCTGTTAGCACCTGAGGTGCATGGCAGCTCAATCTTAGTTCTGATTGCTCTCAATCTGATCCATGAAAGCACGATTCAAGAGTCAGCCATAGATTCAGGGTTGTATACAGAATCAAGGTTCCCCTTCTCTGGCTCTCTGGTTACCAAAGACCCTTCCTCTGGTTCCTCCCACCAGAGAGAAAGCAGGCTTTCTATTAGAATATTAGCTATCCCACACCATCAATGCCACAACTGTGCCAACCTCATGACAAGGTCACCAAAACATGAAACACTATGCCATTCACTGTCTCTACGTTTTAACGCACCTCCAAAATATGCTGCTTTCTTTTCACTTACCAGAGCCTTCAGGTAGTAGTTTTTTAATTTTTATTTGGTTTGTCATTGATATCTGCGGGAGGGCTTGTCAGATAGGAGCTACTCCCCCATCACAAGAAGCAGAACCTATCATCATCTTTTTTCTACATAATTTCTCAAGTGGTTGATTGGAGAAGTACAGATTTACTGTATATGTGTATTTCAGCAAAGTACCTGAAATAATCTTTCATGATATCTCAGAATAAAAGCATGTTAAAAGTAGAAGGAACTTTAGAGATTATTTTGTTCAAAACTTATTTTGTAGACATGGAAATTAAATCCTAGAAAGTCAAGTAGCCAATAACATATCTGGGATGCAACACAAGATTATTTTCATAGCTAGTTTTAGTACTCTGTCCTCTCAATACCACACGTCTCTTTTGGACATAATAGAGAAGCAGGGATTGGGTAATATTAGTTTTTCGGAAGGTCAAAAAACCTTACTCAAAGAATACTGACTAACAGATGTCTACTTGGCAGAGGATTTCTAATGATATACAAAGGCCTTATTGTCCTTTGTCTTACTCTGCATTAATACACGCATTCCTACATTCATTCATTCATCCAATATTTATTGCTTGCTTATCATGTGCTAGTAATACAGTAAGAAACAAGTACATAGTTCCTGCCCTTGTGAAGTTTATATGCTAGCAGCTTATATTCTAGCCCAAGAGAGAAAATAAACAATGAAAAGAAGCTTTCTACACTGTTGACCCCTCTTACTTGAGCAGCTCTTCCCTTTGCTTTTTCCTCCACTCACCCATTAAATGGTTCAAGCATCATTTTAGATGCTTTCCCAAGGCAATCTCAACTTCTCCCTATGGCGTCTACAACGTATTTGTTGATTACTCTCAATTTTTTCATTTTTAACACAGATCTCTCAAATAAGCTCTAAATTATCTCTTGTACTATTCAATGACATGTATTATACTGGCCCTCTGAATCTGCCATTTCCAAAACTGAACTCAACTCATCCCCTATCAAACACATTACTCTTTCTGCCTTTCCCACCTTAGTGGTATCATCCTAGTTGCCACTGCCTGTTTTACCTCTCGCACACAAGGAATAGGTCACCAACTCCTTTTAATTCTACGTCTTGAATCTTTCTGTACTATAACCTCTCCTATTGATCCAACCATCTTCTTTATGCTATTACAGTAGCTGCTTAAGCAGTTTCTCAGCATTTTGCATCAGAATTGATTTTCTGTAACAGAAATATAATCATGTAATTTCTCCTGTGCCTTGTGGACAGTTTTGCCAGCACTTATTTTATTATACTCAATGACTTAGATAATTATTAGACTTTGAACAAGTAGAAGGAAGGGACCATGCTTTGTTCATCTTAAATTTCCATAATCTACCAGTAGTAAGTGAATACCTTAAATCAAAGCATTAAAGATGCTCTCATTAAATCTGTAGATTACAAAATTTTGCAGGAAAATATAACAAATTCAAAAATACGAATTGCTTAAATAATTAGCTAAACTGAAAAGGAAATTCCAACTAGGAAAAAAGTATTGAATCTAAGAAAAACTAAGAAGTAAGTAAAGAAAGAAAGAGAGAGAGACAGGGAGGGAGAGAGGGAGGGAGGAAGGAATCAAAATGTAGAGAGGATCCCTTAACATATTCTGACTGCCATTTTCACCTAAGAAATAACTACGGCTTCCCCTAAGGAAGCTGTTAGGTGATAGTTATGTGATACAAGAGAAAAACATCATGCATTTGCGAATGTTTACTAAGCAGTTTTTAATGTAATAAAGACATTTAATGTAAATATAAACGCAGGTAGTTATCTACAAACTACATAAAAATGTTCTACAACTAAGCATGTAAATTGCCCTTCCTTTCTCACTTTGCTGCTGTGGACATCTTTGTGCTTTAAATTACAGGGTGCCTCAGGACCCATTTACAGAGGTATGACGTAAAAAGAAAGGATGGGAGAGAAAACCTGGTTCTAGTAACCTGGACTATAAAAACACAAAAATTATCCCACAGAAACAAATATATGTTTCTCTAGTGCTGTCTTAGGTAGACAATGGGTTAAATAGTTTTTTGGGATGGCTCAGAACCTAACTACTGCATATAAAGTTGTTTCTATGGAAATACTTTTGAAACACCCAACAATTAACTCAAAACATGTCAGGACTCTTTTGATGACTATCTTAATGTTTTATCAATGTCATTTGCAAAATTTTTTAAAGTAACATTTGGAATACAGTAAATCCACTAGAGGAAAAATCACGAGCTGCAGCACTGAGAACAAATTTTGCAAATCTCTGAATGGCAGAGGCTATAGCACTGAAAGCTAAGATACTTCTTATAGGCATGAATAAGTCAAATGCACCTTATTAATCATCAAAAGGAAATGATTGTTTTCACAAGTTATGTAAGATGTTGGGTTATTTCTCATTACCCATAGTTCCCTCAAAAGTTACTCACAGCTGAAGAGTAGAGTTCAAACTCTTGCTCAGGAAGAAAGGAATGCCAGCCATCTTCTATCACTTCAAACATGGGCCGGTAAAAGAAAGGGTACATCAGAGTGATGGAGTCCAGGGTAGACAATGCCTAAGGTGTAAAACGGAAATCAAGAAAGGAAAAGAGAACATACCACAATTTAAAATACTTTCTAACTGTCAAATTGGTATTAAACAAATATGACCTAATGATAGGCACCCAATATATTTCTCTAACACTGAATTTGTCACTAATTACAATTATAGCTTACTGAAACTAATTTCCATGCTTTCAGCATCTAATAAGATATCTGGCACATAATATACACTCAATTAGCATTTGCTATGAACAAAAGAATAAAAAAATGTACATACCGATTCTAGGAGAAAAATAAAATAACTCCTTTTTGACAGCATTTAATAAAGCCTAATAAAAAGGTCCAAATATTTTGGGGGATCAGAGAACAAATAGGTTTTGGTCATTAAGTAAGGCATTGGCTCAAAATCCAGTTATCAAGTATGTGAACATATATGAATTATTTAAAATCAGTACCTGCTAGTAAAATAGGGTGACATAGCTTAGAGGCCAAAGAGTCAGACTGGAGTCAGACTGCTAGACTCAAATTCCAGATCCCAGTGCAACAGTGGTTAAGTAATATAATCATCCCATGCCTCAGTTTCCTCAACTGTAAAATGGGGGGAAATAACAGTACCTACCTCACAGATCTGTTGGGAGCATTAAGAAAGAGAATGTAACAGTCCTGGAACAGTGCTTGGCACATAATAAACACTAAACACTCAAATTGGTAGCTATTCCATGTTCCATATGTTATATGCTCCACATATGCTCCAGTGTTCATTTTCCTCCCTTCCTAGAGTATTATGCCACTTGGTCAGGTATCATCATATCTTTATGCTACACTGACCCATTTTCAAGCCAGGGCAGTAACTCTGTGGTCCCACAATGAGCCTACATTCATCTGGAGTGCTTGAATTCTCTGTGACAACACCAGAAAACCTGACTAGATGAGAGGAACAGACAGACAGATCATCCTTCTGACAGAGGAGTTATGGAAAGCATTTCTATGGCTACACAAAAAGGCACCAAAATCAATTAGCGCAATTCAAACTGCAGTAATTATATATACACTCACCTGGTGAGGAGCCCAACATCATGCTAATACCCCAAAACTCTCAGAATGAAGCTACCTCCTTCTAGGTCACAGAAAGATAAGACTCACAAAAGGATGGGCCATGACTTATTAAAAAAAAAACAACAACAGACTAAACACGTAGTTCAGCAGTTTAACAAAACATCCCCATCCAAAGTTCTTCTTCTCTCTCTCCATAAATCATGAAGTCTTCCCCTCAAAGCTCATAAACGGAAAATATGGAGAAGCATGGCTGTGTAGTTCATTAACCACTTCTATACTATCTTTGGCTGCCAATCACACCAAACAAGCAGAAAAGCCAGTGTCCACGTCTGATCTAGGCCGGAATTGTCATCAGTCAGCACAACCATTTAATTAATTAATTAATTAGGTATTCTTTGTAATATTAAAAAAAATTTCAGCTTTACTGATGCATAATTGATAAATAAAACTGTAAAATACTTGAAGTATACAATGTGATGATTTGATACACATACACATTGTGAAAGGATTTTCCCCCATTGAGTTAACATATCTATCACCTCACATATTTACTTTTTGTTACTGTTTTGAGAATATTTAAGTTCTGCTCTCTTAGCAAATTTTAATTATATAATACAGTGTTATCAATTATAGTCACCATGCTATACATTAGATCACCAGACATCATCCATCTTACAGCTGAAAGTTTCTAACTTTTACCAACTTCTTCCATTTCTGTCACCTCTCAGCTCCTGGCAACTATTATTCTACTATGTTTCTATGAGTTTGACTTTTTTTAAGATTCCACATATAAGTGATACCACGCAGTATTTCTCTTTGTTGGGCTTTTTTTACTTAGCATAATACCCTTGAGGTTCATCCACGTTGTCACAAATGGCAGGACTGCTTTCTTTCTTAAGGCTGAATAAAATATAATAGATATATATAACGTCTCACATTTTCTTTATCCATTCATCCATTGATGCTTGGGTTGGCTATTATGAATGATGCTGCAATTAACATGGGAGTACAGATATCTCTCTGAGATAATGATTTTGTTTCCTTTGAATATATACCCAGAAGTGTGATTGCTGAATAATATGGTAGTTTTATTTCTAATTTCTTGAGGAATCTTCATACTGTTGTCCACTGTGGCTGATACAACCATTGTTTTAAATGCAAGTCAGCAACCACTCTGGCAGGCAATAAGCACTCATACTTTGATTTGAGTGCTTTTATGTTAGTAGAGATAGGATTTTTCCTTTAAGCACATTAATGCTGCAAGAACTAAAAACATTTCAACCCCCAAAGGCAGTTGAAACTATACAGACAAAAGCTTCATCAGACTTTCTGCTACAATTATGAAAACTGAGCACTTGCCAGTTATTCTTCCAATGGGATTCTATATGTGGCAGAATATATTTGGGTATACAGACTCTTGATTTTAAAGAATAGCTCAACTATTCTACACATGAATTTCACTTATTACTCCCAAATTATGTCAAGATGTATGGAGAGAAGGAGACTTGAATGCCAGAAAAAAGACTAGAGGCCAAGTTCACTATATGTATTACTAAGCTGTAAAAACAGTCAACAAAGCATTCACTTTCTAAGGTCAAATTATGAGAACGGCTCATAATTTACAGCTTCTTTTCAGCTATAAGGGTTTGTATGTAATCAGTTTCTAAAAGAGCTTTAGGTAATATCTGTAGCTAAGTAAACAACTGATTTGTATCAGATGACAATGAACTTAAGTAAATGCAATCAGAAAGTGGGCAATATACTTTGCCTTATTTCTTCACCACTATGCTTCACCATGGGCAACTTCACTAACACCCAGCAACCAGCTATCTTACAAGTTATAAAAGGAAAAAGAAAAATGTAGATGGGTCAGTGAAAATCCAACCCCACAACTGAAAAATAAAAACGCATGCTTAACTGAAATGGGTCAATAGCATTCCCCTGCCCAAATAACAGGGCAGTGTTTCAATTAACAGCCTAGAAGCCACTTGCATTTCTCATTCATGCTAGCCAATTTGACCAAATCAACAGTATTGTGTTACTTCCAAGTGACAGGTATATAAGACACAGTTCAGCTCATCTTCTCATTTCCTTAAGTAAAATTTAGCAAAAGCATAAAGAAAAATGTTGCATGCCAATTTTCTCAGTACTACGGCAGTTGTTCCTTTATTTCTCTATTCTTATTTAAAAACCAAACAAAATCCTACTTAGATTTTTAAGACTTTCTGCCCTCTTTTAATAGTTAAGCCAATAGCTTGCATTTATTTTGGACACAAAGCCCAGATTAATCACTCAAAGACAGAAAAAAAATCAGTTTGTTTCTATAATTATCTAGAAAATACTGTAAACATAAAGTTAATTGCTATAATTTAGAGGCAGTGAATTAAAATAAGGCAATTTAAAATTTGAGTGTCTACCAAAATAGTGGTTAGAATAGGGAAGAAAATAGTGTGAGCTCTTCAATTTAAATATTAACTTGTCCAAGTAAGATTTCTATTCTTTACAATCTGAACGGAAATTCAATATTATTCACACAAATATAAAACAAATACATCTTGTCTTAAGCAACCTGATATGTGGAAATTCAGATTTACTAAAAACAAAAGACTATAATCACTGGTGATATTTACTAACTTCGCAAAAGAAATAACTTTTAAAAGTCTCACCACATACACATATACAGTGGAATATGATTCAGCCTTAAAAGGGAAGGCATCTTGTCACATGCTACAACATGGATAAACCTGGAAGAATAAGTAACACTAAAAACTGTTATAAACCCTGTAAAATCCTATTACATTCTCATAACAATAAATCATGGTGAGGCTTTTCCTATCAATCTTCAATATTTGAGTCACAGAATATGACCAAATCTAACAAAGAAACATTAAGAGCTACACTGAGTCAGAATATAAGGCTCTTTTCTATTACTATTTATTTTCATCAAATTTTGCTTCCAAAATACTTACTTCAATGGAACTGGCTATATTCAAACATTCTTCCATTCCAGGAATATCCAACTGAATTATTCGAAAATCTTTACATTTTATGATGATGGTACCCAGTGGTCCCACAAATCTATAAAAAATTATAAATTATACTTAGGAATATATACATTTCTAACTGTAAGCATATGATTATTTCTTTGAAAAGAGAATGTAGTTACAGTCACCATCTATATTCATCTTTCTCCCAATTAATCTGATTAAGAGTAAAGCCTGTATCATAAAAATGTGAGCCATAAGTTATTTAAAATACATGTATTTAAAATTTTTTCAAATATGTAAAGTAATTCACACTACGCCAATTCATTTAACAAAGATTATTTGGGGCCTTACTCAAAGAATAGCAAAAAAAGACCTGTACTTAATGTGTTAAGTGTTTGTTTAGAGATATTTCTGAAGTATAGGAAAATAGTTCATTTGAGAGTTTACTTACTACCAAGCTTGCAGTAGTTTATTTTAAATGTAAGTATCTTTTTAAGTCTTTAAAAACTATTAATTTGCAATATCTATTCTATACCTATCAATGCCATAGCTAATCATAAATTTCATGAGTTAGTTTATAAATTCTGTACAAATTTAATTTTACCTTAGTTGGGATTTTTTTAATAAAAGCCAGTATTATTGTAATAGTGGTTTATAACTTCACTTTTTGTTTTCTACATGATTTAACAGATTAATACATTTAAAGAAAAATAACAATTATTAGTGTAAAAGCTAATATTAATGTATTTCTGTAACTTGGGTTTGTAACTCCAAATTTTGTTTTCTACATAATTTAAGAGATTAGTGTATTACAAGAATAATTAGTTTATGTTTTAGGGCACACACTATGTAATGATGGGACTTTGTGACATTAACAATGGAAAAGGCTGGGGACGGAGCTATGAAGGAGCAGAGTTTGTGTGTTATTGAAGTTAAGCTGGTGTAAATTCATATCAGTGTTAGAACTTTAGGATGTTAAATGTAATCCCCATTGTAATGACAAAGACAATAACTATAGAATATACCCAAAAGTAAATGAGAAAGGAATTTAAACATTCACAACAGAAAAATCAACTATATACTAAAGAAGACAGTAATTCAGGAAATGAGGGGCAAAAAAGGTATAAGGCATTCAGAAAACAAATAACACAATAATAGAAGTCCCTCCTTATCAATACAGTAAGTCCTCACTTAATGTCACTGATAGGTTTGTGACTTTAAGTGAAAAGACGTGTAATGAAACCAATTGTACCACAAGAGTTAAGTTCCTAAGGCATCTAATCGGTGTTATAACAAAACTTCGTGACATAAAATGATGTTATTTGAGGACCTGCTGTTAAGGGCTTTAAATGTAAATGGATTAAACTCTACAATCAAAAGACAGAGATTGGCAGAATGGATATAAACACATGACCCAACTATACGCTGTCTTATAAGAGACTCAGTTGAGGTCCAAAGACAAAAAAAGATTGAAAGTGAAAGGCTAGAAAAAGATACTTCATGCAAATAGTAATTAAGACAGCAAAGGAAGCTACACTAATATCAGACGAAATAGACTTTAAATCAAAAATGGTTATGAGACAAATAAAGACATTATATATTAAAAGGTTCAACACAGCAAGAAGATATAACAATTACGAATATTTACACACCTAATGACAATCAAAATATATGAAGCAAAAACTGACAGAGTTGAAGGGAGAAACAGTTTTTACAATAATAGTTGGTGACTTTAAAACCACACTCATGATAATGGGTAGAACAACTAGCCAGAAGTAAGGAGACAGAGGCCTTAAACACCACCGCATGAAATACATAGGCATACACATGCTACCCAGCAACAGAATACACATTCTTCTCAAGTGCACATGGGACATTTTCTACGATAGACCATACATTAGGCTTCAATCAAGTCTCAATGGACTTAAAAAGATAGATATACATGGTACAGGCATATCTTGGAGATATTGTGGGTTCGGTTCCAAATCACTGTAATAAGGCAACTATTTCAATAGAGCAAGTTGTAATTTTTTCGTTGGTGGAGGGTCTTGCCTTTAATTTGTAACAATGCAACAACTGTAAATGCATTAAAATTAAAATGAGGTTTGCTTGTATCTTCTCTGACCATATGGGATGGAGTTAGAAATCAAGAACAAAAGGAAAACTGGAAAATTCACAAAATTGTGAAAATTAAGCAAATGCTTTTAACCAACCAATGGATCAAAGAAGAAATCACAAGTGAAATTAGAAGACACTTAGACACAAACGAAAACAAAAACACATTATAAAACTTAAGGGATGCAGTGAAAGCTGTATATATTATATGTACATATATATAAAACCACCTGATAAATGATAAATCAGTCAAGGATGAGTTGTTAGATGATGGTTTAGGTAAACAGACTTGCTACATCGAAAAAAACAAAGTTGGATTCTTATCACACTTAAAACAAAGGTAGAAGCCAAACAAATTAAAGACTTAAAGATGAAGGTTAAAACTATACAGCTTTTATGGAAGGAAATGTAAGAGAATATTCAGTGAACTTGAGATAAGGAAAGTCTTCTTAAATAAGGCTTACAAAACACAAGACGTAAAGTTAAAAAAACTGAATTTTGCATTAAAATGAAGGACTTCTTTCTGTTCAACAAAGGACATCACAGGAAAGTTAATAATAGATAAGAGAATAGGTGAAGACGTTTAAAATGTCAAAGTGAAGAATTACTATCTAAAGAGTATACAAGGAACTGATATAAATCAACATGAGAAAGACAGCAAACCCAGTTTTTAAAAGTGGGCCAAGGAAATTCATAAGCCATTCATGGAAAGGAAAAAACTTTTTAAATGAATTGCTAATAAGTATATAAAGAAATACGCTCATCAGTAATTAGAGAAATACAAATTAAAACAATTTGTATTTCACAATCATCAGATTGGCAAAAATTAGGAAGATAATAATACCAATGTTGGTGAGAATGTGGTGGAAACAGGGACCAGGGTGGGAGGGCAAAGTAGACGAGTCTCCTTTCTGGCTCAATAGCATCCTCAGCTGGAGAAACTCTTGTATAAGATTATAGTGGGACCCTAATGAGTATGTTTATTAGAGCTGTTTATGATTACAGGGAGTCGGTGTTATCTAAATGGTCAGATAAGGAAAATGCAGACAATTTGGAATTCTATGCTGTAGTCAGAAGCAGTGACATGGATGTACAGGCAGCAATGTAAAGAGATCTTAGGAGTACTGAGCTAAAATATTGAGAAACATAACGAGATCTACAAGATAATCCTACTTAGGTAAATTAAACTCACACATGCATGTGTGCACATACCCACACACAACAGTGCCATGTATTTTATAAGGATTTATACATGTCCTTATATATATCCCTATAAAACATATAGATATGTGTATATATATATATATGTATATATATATTTAAGGACAAACAGCAATACTTAACAGTTACCTATAAGGATTGAGGATGAGGTAGAAAATTGGAGTGAAAATTAGGGCTGAAGAATAAAATAAAAAATGGAGAAAACCTTGTAATGAATTGATTATGGAAATGATGAGTCATCAACTGAATAGGAATAACTCAACTTTCTACATCTGAGATCCATAAAAAGAAAAACAAGTATAATTGTAAAACTTGTGTACAATCCAGTCTGCTAAAAGGATCAAATAAAATGTATGCAGTGTACATGAAAGTATTTTATCAGCTCGTAGAGCATTAAGTCTAAGTTACTACTAGATATGAGAGGGATTGTCTTCCTCTTACGTGACAGAACTGATGTTCACAGAGGTTAAGTAGCTTTCCAAGGGCACCCATCTAGTAAGAGGCAGAACCGAAGGAGTCATCCTTAATACTGCTCCTCCTCTCACACCATTTACAATTCACCACCAAGGCATGGCAGCTCAACCTTCAGAATAACATCCCAAATCTGACTGCTTCTGACCATACCACTTACTACTGCTTCCACTCTAAAATCACCATCACCTGAACTACTCATAAGTCTCCTCCTAACTAGGTGTGCTGCTTCCACTCATACCCTTCTATTATCTTTTTTCTGCCAGTGGCCAGAATGTCTATCTACTGTTACTGCCTTGCTTTGAACTCTTCGAGGGCTTCACATGAAAACCATCACAATGGCATAGGCCCTACAC